CCCGCGGCCAAGCCCCGCCCGCACAGGTAGCCACCTGGCCCGCCGCCCGCGCTCACCTGCGCGGCCGCACCCACCCAAGCCGACTCCGCCCCGCGGGGAGAGAGGGCCGTCTGACCCACCTAGAGGAGGCGCCTCCGCTGGGAAGCGGTGCTCTCCAGGGGAGGGGGTGGAGCAGGTGCGGGGCGCGCTGCGCCAAGCCCTTCCCACAAAAGGGAAGTGGCATGGGACAGTCTATTTTCTTCTTCCCAGGGCAGGACTGCTAGTGCCCTGAGCGCCCAGGGTGGTTCCTGGCTTCAAACCTGAGCTCGAGCCCTAGCATGAACTGAGTAACTGGAGTCAAACAGGAAAGCGTTGGCGGTTCCCTAAACCCAAAGGCTCCGCGAGAGAAAATCGTGGCAGTCTCCCTTTAAAAAAAAAAAGGGGGGGGGGGGTTTAATTGTTATTGCCCACGAGTCGACTCATAGCGATCCTAGGCACAGAGCTCTGAACCCTGCTCTATCCTGACCCAGTCTATCTCTGACACACCTCCCCTCATTACTCCAGTTATTGTGTCAATCCATCTCATCCTTCCTCTCCTGCGCTATCCTTTGTTCAATACTCTTCTCCAGCACAATTCAAAGGCATCAATTCTCCTTCTGTCACCTTGATCATTGTCCAGCTCTCTAATGCACAGCAAGTAAATGCAAAGACCATGGCCAGATCAGGCTCACCTTAGTCTCTAGACCAACATCCTTGCACTTCAGCACTCTGGAGAGGTCCCTGACAACAGATTTTTCCCAATGCAATTTTTCTTTTGATTTCCTGACTGCTGGTGCCAAGAGTGATGATTGTAGAACCTGTTGTTGTTGTTGTTATGTGCTGTCGAGTCGTTTGCGACTCATAGCGACCCTATGCACAACAGCCCTAAACCCTGCTCTATCCTGTGCCAGTTGCATAAATTGTTAATAATCTCAATCTCTTCTCCATCTATCACAATGCTTCCAATTGGCCCAGTGGTGAGAATCTTCTTGATGTTGAGTTTTAAACCATATTGCAAACTATAGTCCTTAGCTCTCTGCAGCAGAAGTTTCAGGCCGTCCTCAGTTTTAGAAAGTAAAGTAGTATAGTTTTAAATGAGTCTTCCTCCAATTCTGATGCCACACTCCTCTTCATAAAGTGCAGACCTCTTGAATGATCTCTTCTGCAATATATATTGAAAAGGTATGGAGACAGGACACATCCCTGCAATCCTTTTCTGATTTTGAACCATGCAGTGTTTCCTTACTCTGTTCTGACGACTGCCGCCTGGTCCAAGTATAGATTTCGCATGAGCACAATCAGGTGTTCTGGGCTTCCCATTCTCCTCAAGGTTAGCCACAATTTGTTTGGATCCACGCAGTCAAATGTCTTTGCATAGTGAATGAAACACAGATAGACATTCCTCTGGTGCTCTCTGCTTTTGGCCATGATCCATCTGACATTGGCAATGATGTCCCCAGTGCATGGCCTCTTCTAGCTTGCATTTCTGATAGTTCTCTGTCGATGTGGGAAGACAAAGCAAAGTAGTATAATGAAATGTGCAAAAAAAAGTGGAAGGAGTATACAGAGTCACTGGACAAAAAGGAATTGGCCGACACAGAAGAATTTCATGAAACAATGAACGAGCAAGAGCCTGTGGTGATGGGTCAACATTGACTAGCACCCGACAATAGGAACAAAACGTGCTTTTAGGACATCATCTTGTCCAAAGCCTGGTTTTACTGTTTTCTGATGAGGAAACAGTACTGTTCAATTTGCACCTTCACTCATCCAGCATTGGCTGCATCTCTGTGTGTAACCCTGGTGGTGCAGCGATTAAGCACTCAGCCGATGGCCGGAAGGCCTATGATTTGGACCCACTAGCTGCCCTGTTGAGGCAGTCAGCTTCCCTAGAGATTGTTGTTGTTGTTGATTGCCTTCCAGTTGAGCACAACTCATAGTGACCGTATGAACAAAAGGCCTGAAGCCCCTCTACAACTATCGACATTTATCAAAGTTCATAGAGTTTCTGGAGGCAAGTTGCTTAGGAAGTGGATGCCACTCCAGAGATTATGGCCTCAGAAACCCAATGGTGCAGTTCTCTCAGTCCTACAGACTCCACAAGATCCTATAGGATTCACAAGAAAGCAATGGGTAGCAGGTTTACCAACTAGACCCTGAAAATATTTAGAAGAGGTCGTGGTACTAGGGATATTATAGCTAATGTTAGATGGATCTTGGCAGAAAGCAGAGAATACCAAAAGAATGTCTATCTGTGCTTCATTGGCTATGCAAAGGCTTTTGATTATGTGGATCACAACAAGCTGTGGCTGACTCTGAGAAGAATGGGAATCCCAGATCATTTGATTGCGCTAATGCGAAACCTTTGTATAATCAATGAAACACAGGTAGACATTCTTCTGGTATTCTCTGCTTTCAGCTAAGATCCATCTGACATCAGCTACAATATCCCTAGTACCACGACCCCTTCTAAACCCAGCCTGGACTTCTGGCAGTTCTCTGCTGATGTGCTGTTCCAGTCGTTTTTGGAAAATCTTCAGTAGAATCTTGCTTGCATGTGAAATCAATGATATTGTTCTGTAGTTTCCACACTCAGCTGGGTCACCCTTCTTTGGGATGGGAACAAATACAGATCTCTTCCAGTCAGTTGGCCAAGTGGTTGTTCTCCAGATTTCTTGGCACAACTTGGTGAGCACATCCAGGGCAGCATCTGGTAGCTGTGTTTCATTAATTATGCAAAGGCATTTGACTGTGTGGATCATAATAAACTGTGGCTGACTCTGAGAAGAATGGGAATCCCAGAACATTTAATCGTGCTAATGCGAAACCTATACTTGGATCAAGCGGCAGTCGTCAGAACAGAGCAGGACAACACTGCCTCAGAGAGTTGGACAATGACTAGGGAGGATAGAAGGAGAATTGACACCTTTGAGCTGTGGTACTGGAGAAGAGTATTGAATGCACCATGGACTGACAAGAAAACAAACAGATTAATCCTAGAGAAGGTTAAACCAGGCTACTCCTTGGAGGCAAGGATTCTGGGGCTTCCTCTGACATACTCTGGACATGTTGTAAAGAGAGACAGGCCCTTGGAGAGGGACATCATGCTTGGGAGGGTGGAGGGACAGCGCAGGAGGGGAAGACCCTCTATGAGGTGGATTGATTCAGTGACTGGGGTAATCGGGATGGGTGTGTCAGAGGCAATGCGATTGGCACAGGATAGAGCAGGGTTTAGGGCTGTTGTACATGGGGTCGCTATGACTTGCAAACGACTCGACGGCACATAACAACAACAACAACAAGGCGAAACCTATACTTGGACCAAGAGGCAGCCATCAGAACAGAGCAGGGAGACACTGGATGGTTCAAAATCAAGAAGGGGGTCCATCAGGGATATATTTTGTCTCCATACCTTTTCAATCTGTATGCAGAAGAGATAATCCGAAACACTGGGCTGTACGAGGAGGAATGTGGCATCAGGTTTGGTGGAAGAACCATCAACAACCTGCATTATGCAGATGACACAACCCTGCTTGCTGAAACTGAGGAGGACCTGAAGCGCTTGCTTCAGAAGGTCAAGGACTGCAGCCTCCTATATGGATTGAAGCTCAACATCAAGAAAACAAAGATTTTCACCACTGGGCCAATCGGCAGCATCAGTATGGATGGTGAAGAGATTGAGATAGTTAACAGTTTTAGTTTACTTGGTTCCACAGTCAACACTCTTGGTAGCAGAAGCCAGGAAATCAGGAGAGGAATTGCATTGGGAAAGTCATCTGTGAGAGACCTCTCAAGAGTACTGAAGAACAATGATGTCAGGCTGGAGACTAAGGTGCGCCTGATCCAGTCTTTGCAATTATGTGCTACGCTTCAGAGAGTTGGACAGTGAATACAGATGATAGAAAGAGAATTGATGCCTTTGAGCTGTGGTGCTGGAAAAGAGTGTTGACTATACCATGGACTGCTAGGAGAACAAACAGGTTTGTCCTGGAGAGGGTGAAGCCAGAATGTTCCCTGGAGTCAAGGATTCTGAAGCTTCGTCTGACATACTTTGGACATGTTGCAAGGAGGGACTGGTCCTTGGAGACGGACATCATGTTTGGGAGAGTGGAGGGACGGCGCAGGAGAGGAAGACCCTCGATGAGATGGATTGATTCTGTGAGTGGAGTGGTGGGAATAAGTGTGTTTGAGATGGCAAGGTTGGCACAGGATAGATAGGTGTTTAGGGCTCTTGCACATAGAGTCGCTATGAGTCGCAAGCAACTCAATGGCACATAAACAACAAGAGAGGGTCCGCACATATCCCAAAAGGGGGTGTTTCATTTCACAGGGGACACAGCTATTTTTTTTTAAAGTTACAAGATTCCTCTAAGTTCACACTAAAACTCACCACTAAAACCACATCTTTAGAATTCCACCCCTCGGCCTCTCCCTGTTTCTCCCCATTATAAAGTGTGCACGTTAAGCTTTATCTTTGCAGCATGATTGCTTCCCTTCAATTCCCTGGACTAGTACTCTAGCCAATTTTTAAGAGAAAGTCTCAAAGACTCCACTGGAAGGAAAATGTTTATCCCACCACTGCCCTGGAAACCCCACCACTGGGCCTGTGGACTTACATCACTGCCTCGTTCGCTCTTAAAATGTCCACGTTCCCAATGAGCATTGCTACATTGCTAGATTCGGTCATTAAGCCTCGCTGGCAACACTAACCCAATGGGGGAGGAAGG